TCAAACTGAGCAAAAATATGCAATTTGGTACAGATGCTGATATTTATATGGACAAAAAGTGATGCAATTCTGATGCTTGTAATGTAAATCAATCAGATCTTTATAACACTACAGCAGATACTTACATAAAATGAGTAATATCTCAAGTAATATGTCTTAGTAAGATGATATTTCAAAGATCCAAACATATAATGCGATGCAATCCAGTGCTGATTGAGAGCTGAAGAAATAAAGGCTCCTCCTCAGATGTGAGATGTTCTGGAGGCTTGTGAAGATCATTCCTCCGCTGAGGAACAGTGAAAGTAAAGCTTCTGGAAACAAACGCTCCTCAAAAGATCCTGAGGATCAGATTTGAGACTCTAAAACATGATTGATGGAGAATCAAGTAAAGCTGAGCTGCTTCAGTCCAGTAAGTGTTCAACTGGAGATATTATGAGCACGCGCTGTTTTCTGTGCTCACACACAGAGCCATGCAGATGCACATGAACACCGAATTCCCTTCACTTCATCTATTTGTGCCTGAAATGACACTTAAGTGTGAAATGATGTCAACATGCATGTCTCCTAAACACAGTTGCTTATGGCTTAAAACGGATGTGTAACAGTATATTGGTTCACAGCAGTTTAATGCTCCTGTTGCTTTCTGTGTCTTAAATGTTAATCAAACAACAAAACACACAGAAAAATCACTTTTGGAGCTTTAACACGGATTTATTCGATTTAATTTATACAGCGAAGACTATGCAGTGTTATTTGACATTTGATTATTCAATTTCTGCACCTGAATACTGTTAGACCTACCTGAAAAATATAAAGCACTGTTTATTTCATTTCTATTATATTTATGTATGCTTGTAATTTTTTTTTCTATGCTGATTTACTCGCCTACAAAATCACCTCAATCATTGATTATTTATTTTTTTTTCAAATAGAGCTATTCGAGTCATCTGGAGAAATTTTTTTTTTCATATCGCAATATATATCGTAGAAAAACAAAGTATTGCAATGTGAGCTTTTTCCGATATGGTGCAGCCCTAAGTGTCAGTAATGAGACGCTGCCATCAATCTGCTGAGACTGAGACGGGTGCAGTTACAGGTCACTCGCTCCAATTTAGCAAATGTGGGTGTTTCCTCATTCTCTCGTTCTCCTCTGCTCCTCTAATTAAGCAAATGCAGCCTTTCGCACTCGAGACGCCTCTCGGCTCAAGCTCGACCTGTTATCTTAGTTTTTTTTAAGTGTGATGGGAGGAAAGTGGATCGTTGGCACTCGTGAGCAAACGTGAGGGATTTTGCAAGGACAAATTTACATAGTCGTCATTTAAAGGGAAACTTCACCCATAAAGTAGTCCGTATGACTCGTGCACTATAAGTCATACTTTCAAGTTAAGATGTCAAGAAGATGGAGATTTGAGAGCTTGTTAGTTGCATGTTATCCAGCAGCTAAATGGCAATGCATTACAGGCCATAGAGAAAAACAAATGTATTTCCTTCTAATAATTGAGAATATTATCAATAGTTCATAGTAAAATGTGAATGCAAAAAAACTTTTTTGGAAGCCGGCAGAGAGCGAGATGCTCATGTGTGCTCATATGAATCAGCATCTGATTTCTTATATAATCTCACCACCGAATCATATGCAAGTAGGACACTGAGGATCTTCTGCACACTACACTAGTGCTGGGCATATTTAACTTTTTGTCTTATATATATATATATACAGTGGGTACGGAAAGTATTCAGACCCCCTTCAATTTTTCACTCTTTGTTATATTG